TAAATTGACCTCTGAGCACTGCTTTTGCTGTGTCCCAAAGGTTTGGTATGTTGTGTTTTCGTTCTCATTTGATTCTAGGAATTTTTTAATTTCATCTTTGATTTCTTCTATTATCCACTCGTTTTTAAGCAGGATGTTATTTAGTTTCCATTTATTAGATTTTTTCCTTGCTCTTCCTGTTACTGATTTCTACTTCTATAGCATTGTGGTCAGAGACGATGCTTTGTATTGTTTCAGTGATCCATGAGCATTGAAGAAGAATGTGTACTTTGCTGCTGTTGGGTCATGTGCTCTGTATATGTCAGGTTGGTTGATTGTGTTGTTTAGATCTTCTGTGACTTTGTTGAGTTTCTTTCTAGTTGTTCTGTCCATCACTGAGAGTGGTGTGTAAAAAAGTCTCCCAGTATTATAGTGGAAGTGTCTGTTTCTCATTCAGTGCCGTTAGAGTTTGTTTTATGTATTTTGGAGTTCTCTGGTTGGGTGCATATATATTATAGTTATGTCCTCTTGGTGGATTGACCCTTCAATCATTGTATAATGTCCTTACTTGTCTTTTATGGTGGATTTTGCTTTTCAATCTATTTTATCAAAGATTAATGTTGCCACTCCTACTCTTTTTTGGTCATTATTTGCTTAGTACATCTTTTTCCATCCTTTAAGTTTTAGTTTATTTATATCTTTGTGTATAAGGTGTGTCTCTTGCAGACAGCATATTGATGGGTCATATTTTTTTAATCCATTCTGCAACTCTCTGTCTCTTTGCTGCTGAATTTGGGCCATTTACATTCATTGTGATTATCAATAGGTATGAGTTTCTTGCTGTCATTTTCTTTATTTTTTTTTGTGGTGTTTTTCTTTCGTTGCATTTAATTTTCTGTGCTGAGGTTTTTTGTTTTTGTTTTTAATTGTGGCTTGTCTTTTCATTTCCTACGTCATTTTTGGGTTTGTGTTTGTTGAATCTGTATGATTTTCTTCTTTTATATTTTGATGAGTAGGTTTGTTGACTTTCTTTGTGGTTACCCTGAAATTTACCTTTGTCTTCCTAAGTTTAAAGCAGTAATTTATTTACTGATAGTGCCTTAACTTCCTCTCCATATGAAAGTTCTAAACCTATACCTTTTATTCCTCCTTTATGTTTCAAGGAAACCTTGGTGGCGTAGTGGTTAAGAGCTACAGCTGCTAACTCAAAGGTTGGCAGTTCGAATCCAGCAGGCACTCCTTGGAAACTGCGTGGGGCAGTTCTACTCTGTCCTATAAGGACACTGTGAGTCAGAATCGACTTGATGGCAGTGGGTTTCGTTTTTTTTTTGTTTGTTTATGTTTTGAAGTGGTTGTCAATTACAGATTAATATCTCTGGTTTCCTGTTTCCCATCTTTAAGCTTTATTTTATTTTTGAGATTTCTTTATCTGGGTTGATATCTGTCTGTTGTTGTCATGTGTTTTAATCTCAAGTTGTTGTCTAGTGTGTTATTAGTTTTCTTTCTGAATGATTCCCTGTAATATTTCTTGTATAGTTGGTCTGGTTTTTTACAAATTCATTTCTGTTTATCTGGAAATGTCCTAATGTCATCATCATAATTTTGCTAGATATGGAATTCTTGGTTGACAGTTTTTTTCCTTCAAGGTTTCATATATATTATCCCATTGCCTTCTTGCCTACATGGTTTCTGCCAAGTAATCATAACTTAGTCTTATCGATGCCTGTTTGTGGGTGATCTTTTGTTATTCCTGAACTGCTTTCAGGATTCTTTGTCTTTGGTTTTGGATCGTTTGATTATGATGTGTCTCGGTGTTCTTTTGGGATCTATCCCATATGGGGTTCGTTGTGCTTCTTGTATGGTTATCTTCTTGTCTTTCACGATACTGGGGAAGTTTTCTGTCAACACATCTTCAACAGTTCTCTCTGTGCTTTTATGTTGACTTCTCCCCTTCTGGGATTCTGATCACATGTAAGTTATTCCTCTTAATCGTATCCTGCATAACTCTTAGGCGTCCCACATAACTCTCAGGCTTTCTTCATTTTTCTTCATTCTTTTTCTTTGTTCCTTGAACTGGTTAGTGTCAAGGGATTGGTCTTCTGTTCTGTCGATCCTAACTTCCATGGTTTCAGTTCTACTCCTATGACTTTCCATTGAGTTGTCAATTTCTGTAATTTTATTGTTAAGCTTCTGGATTTCTAGTTGCTCCTTCTGTATCATTTTCAATTGTCTGTTTATTTTGTCATTTTGTTCTCATTGTTTTCCTGAGTTCTTCTAGTGTTTTGTCTGTGCATTGCTTGGTTTTGTCTGTATTCTCCATAGTTCTGTCTGTGTTTTCCTTGATTCCTTTGAGGACCGTATACAGAAGCCTTTTGAATTCCTTATCAGGAAACTTCATTACCTTTTCTTCCTCAGTGAAGCTTTCTGGTTCTTTCTTACGGTCATTTGCTGGAGCCATCTTGCCCTGCTTTTTTAGGTGGTTTGTTAAATGTCTGTTGTCTCCAGGACATTAAGGGGTTATTGTATTTATTTTTTATTTGTATGATTATTTGCTGGGTCCTCTTTTGTTTTATTTTGTTTTGGGGGTTCCTGGCAGGTGTGGCTGGGGTGGTGTTCTGGTTGCTTGACTGGCTGTGCTACAGCCCTCCCTACCTGTCTTTGGGCATGTGGAGTGGCGGGTAGGTGTGAGAGCTCTGGTCTCTGTTTACTGATCTTGCGGGGCAGCTGAGAGTGGGTTGGTTCGGCTTTGGCCTCCATCTGTCTTCAGTTCAGTGTCACAGACTGATGCTCTCTGTGCAGCTGGAGTGGCCGATGTGATGGGTGTGGTGGGTAAGTGGGGTTGTGCTCCTCTCCTTGATGGTTGTGGGGGAGGGGGAGAGGTGTGGGTTGTAGAGGCGGGTGACGGAGGACGTTCACACAGTTGCCCTACCTCCACTTCCTCCTGAGCAGGGGGAGGGAGGAAGGGACAGCAGGTGAATGTTTGCTCAGTCTCACTGCATCTGTGTGTCAGTGGCAGGGAGAGGGAGGAAGGTATATCTGGTGGGTATGCGCTCAATCCCTGGGCAAGGAGAGGGAGGAAAGGGCCTCGGAGGGATGCCTTTCACTGGATGGGATAAGGGGTGGAGTTGCTCCTCACGAATGTGTGCACAGTGGTAACACCTCATGTCAGGTTGGGGGAGGGAAAAAGGGTGGCATATGTGCACAGAGGTGCTTAGGCAAGGGGAGGAGGGAGCTGTGGTGGGATGTGTGCACGGTTCCTCTTCCCCTCACTGGGTGGGTTAAGGGAGAGTTGTGCCTGGTGGATGCACATACAGAAATGCTATCTCACGCTGGATGAGGGGAGGGAGGAAGGGGCTACAGGGGGATGCACGCACAGTCATGGCTCTTTTACCCTTTGCTAGGCGGGTTAAGGGATGGAGTCACGCCTGGTGGATGCACTCAGCACGCCTGGCAGATGCACTCAGAAGTGCTGCCTCATGCCAGATGGGGGGAAAGAGGAGGGAGCAGTGGGCAAGGTCTCTCGCTATCCTGCTGTTGCTGCCCTCCACCAGGCCCTTGGGGGTGGGGGTAGGTGGTGGGCAGGTACGTGCACATGCACGGGGTGGGGAGCTCATCAAGTGGGCAAGGGGGAGTAGTGGACGGGGCTGGGTGGGGTGGGAGGAAGAGGATAAGCTCATGTTATGGTCCCCCAGTCAGGCAGGGCAGTCGGGGTATGGGGCCCTCTGCCACCTCTGATCAGGAGGATGAGGTGTGGGGATTGTAATCCTCCAGCTGGGATATGCAGGTGCCAGAGCACTTTGCATCCACTGCAGCCAGCGAGTGGGACCTGTCCTCTCTCGAATGTGAGGAGGGGGGCCTCCTAGGGACTGGTCGGGTGGGAGAGTTTCCGCCGACACTCTGCAAGTCCACTGCCTCATGTGTACACTCACCCCCTGAGGTCAAGGGCTACTGCTCCTGAGTATCTCCAGTTCTGGATCTGGCACCCTCCCTGTCTCTGCTTTTTCCACGTGTGTCTGTAGAAGTTCTCTGTCCCTCTTGGGTAAGTCGTAAAGTTGCCTTGCTGTTTCCTTCACTGAAGGTCACTGCTGGCTTTGTCCTAAGTTAGCGGCGGTAGGCTGGGATGGCTAGCTGAGCTCTGCCATTCGGTGTTACTCCATTTTCGCTGCTTTCCTTATTCCTCCTACTCGGTATTCGGTTCAGTCCTTAGACTTTTTTGTTTTTGATGTTCAGCGTTCCTGGATTGTTATCTGCTTCTGTTTCGCTTGGGTTTTTTGGGCCTTTGGTGCAGGGTGACGTGGTGCGTGTGACTAAGCCGCCATCTTGTCTCCGCATCCTTGTTCCTGATCTTGAGGGGAAAGTTCTCAGTCTTTCTCCATTGAGTATGATGTTAGCTATGGGTTTTTCATAAATGCCCTTTAGAAACATAGATATTTTTAATGAATATCTTTTCATTGGTGATAGTCTAGGATTGACTAGATGACCGGTTGTAGGTGTTTGACTGGGTAACACCAAGTTCCATCATAATATGCTACCAAATAGAACCTTTAAGACTTTCTAGGTACTGAGCCTACTTTATATCCAGAAACATTCTGCAGAAAAATGTCAACATATCTTTGTGCAGAGTGCTTTGCCTTAAAAACACTTATTTGCTAAAGTGACTGTCTTGCATATAGGTGGTTATATCCTGGTTTATACATGCAGTGCCCATATTGATTTCAAAAGTAGTTTATTAACTCCATTATATAATATTCTATATGTTAACAGTGAAGGGCAAAAATTGAAGAGGGTAGTTTGAACCCAGCCCCAGATTCTCAAAGGTGTCTGTGTGTGTTTCAATTTCTGGTCAAAGTTCACAATATTTATTCATTAAGAGTTCCCTGTTAGTAAATTTCTTTTGGGAACTTCAATGGCAACACAGTTTTTTCCAGATTATTTTACTTGAATTTATGATGTAGTTGTAAATGTATACATGAATACAGAACACAAAGAAAAGGTAAATAATACTTATTCCTTTCTGACAGGATCAGCGGCAAACTGAAGCCATCCAGATGTTACAGGCACAGCTCGCCAACATGACACAGCTTGTTTCAAACTTGTCAACAACTGTGGCAGGGTTAAAACGGGAGGTAATTGTTATTATTAATATTGTAAGACACAGAGGTTGTCATAAATGCAGGCTTGTTAAGAACGTGGTATCTATGAACTTTAACTAAACAGAATTCTCATTCTAGACAACTTCAGTACATCTGAATGTAGCATTTTTAAGTTTTGGAAATATATAAATTATCGTAATGTTTTATGGCATTCGTAAATTAAAAAAAACAAAGCAAACTCAATGCCATCAAGTCGATTCCAACTCATAGTGACCCTATAGGACAGAGTAGAACTGCCCCATAGGGTTTCCAAGGAGTGGCTGGTGGATTTGAACTGCCGACCTTTTGGTTAGCAGCTGAACCCTTAACCACTGCCCCCCCAGAGCTCATAAATTAGGTCTTACCAAAGTACAGGTATAAAGCTATTCTAGCAGGCCTTTTGCAAACCATTGAAAGTAACAATAAATAATTCATTGTCAGTTCAAAAAGCTTTCCCATTAAGTTGCTTAACAAAGCAAAAAATTTCATTGATTTAACAGATATTTATTGAGCAGCCAATATATGTGTATCATTAGCTATAGAGTCATAGGTTGGGGATACAGCAGTTAATAGTCCCTGGCTTCACAGAGTTTACATTCTGGGGGAGGGAGAGAATACATAAAGAAATATATAAACGGTGGTAATTTTTCCTAGTGGTAAGTATGGTGAAGGACCATGGGATAGAGAATGAAATGCGTGTTCGTGTGATAAGAGAAGCTGCTTTAGCCGGGGTAATCTGGAAGGCTTATCTGAGGAGGTGGCACTGGACCTGAGTGCTCAAGAGGAGTTAGCAGCCACACAGAGCCTGGAGTGATACGAAACTTGTAAGAGAGCAGAGTTAGGGCAAAGAACCAGAGAACAGAAATAGTGTGATGTGTTTGAGAGCTGAAAGAAGCCAGTGTGACTGGAGCAGAGTGGATGAGCAAGTGAGGGTGGGCAGTGAGTTCAAGTACATTGGCAGGGACGTGGAAGTGTAGGGCTTTGTAAGTAACTTAGAGTTTGAATTTTATTCAAGTCATTGGAGAATATTAAGTTAAGAAATGGTATAAATCATCTCATTGACACTTAAAAGCTTTGAGAAACTCCCCCCTTGCTACTCTGTGTAGAATTGCCAGTTGAGGAAGAACAAGATTGAAGGAGGGAGGAAGCCGATTAGGAGGCAATTAAAGTCTCCTGGATGAGGTGATGTTGGTTTGGATTAGGATTTTAGCAGTGGCAAAGAGTGTGAAGTTGTCGAGAGGTATTTAAGAGGTAGAAAGACGAACCTTGCTGATACATTGAGTGGATGGGAGTGAGGAATTAAGGATGATTCCCAGGTTTTTGGCTTAAATAACTGGGCGAGTGGTAGTGCAGTTTTGAAGGATAGGAACAACTGAGTTGAGAACAGATTTTTTTTTTTTTCCTTGAGGAGGAGATAGGAAAGACAAAGCAGATGTGGCTAAGTGTTAATTGGTACATCTATGTGAAAAGTGTAGTACCAGTTCATTGTACCAGTTTTAAAACTTTTTCATGGGTTTGAAATTCTTCAAAATAAAAATTAGAGGAAAAAAGAAAAAAATCTTTGCTTTAATAGTACATTTTCAAAGAGTATGCCCTGCATTTATAGTTTTGAAGCACATTTAAAAAAAATGTTTAAAATGATTTGTCCTTTGTATTTTAGATCCCACTGTATTTTTTCCTAGTATGATTTATTATGATTAACCCTGTTCCCAATCTCAGGTTTCAGATCGACAAAGCTATCTTGTCATATCTTTGGTTCTCTGTGTTGTCTTGGGACTAATGCTTTGTGTGCAGCGTTGTCGAAACACTTCTCAATGTGATGGAGATTATATTTCAAAACCTCCTAAAAATAATCAGTATCCAAGCCCTAAAAGGTAATACCAGCACTATATTTCACAATTTTCTTTTTTTACTATGCTTTTTATATTTTTTAGAAATTTTGAGCAAATAAGGGATACTGAGGTAATTCCTTTCCCCATATAATTATCTTGAAACCAAAATGTTAAAAATACTAAAAACATCGTTGGGGCTAGTGAGATAGTCCTGTGCCTGGATGGTTCTGTAGACTGTGGTAGTGAAAATACTAATAATGTAAGTGCATGAAAACCCTTGAAATGTTTTGGGTGAGAAAGATGCTTAATTGTGGGATTCAAAGGAGAAGGAGAATAGGTATTTTAATAGTACCATTTAAAGAATGATCCTTAAATGCTTTCTTATATGTATTAGCTATAGCTGGAGTGTTAACTAAGAGATTAGCCCTTTATGGTTTGTACAGTTCTCAATAGCCTCCATCCATCCTGAACTAGACAGTAAATTGTATGTAGTTTACTCATTGTGTCCAACGTTGATTTTTCTTAATGTTTTAGGTGTTTCTCTTCCTACGATGATATGAATTTGAAAAGAAGAACTTCATTCCCACTCATCAGATCCAAGTCTCTACAGTTAACTGGCAAAGAAGGTAGATTTTATGAATTTGTAATATATATAAGCCTGAATTTAGCTTTCTTCTGGCTTAAGTATAGTATCAGTGCTGAGTTCAAGACCATCTGCTACATAATAATGGACATAAGTAATATTTCTGTTTGTGCTGTTTCATAGCCACGTCATCATTTTCACGTTTTTTATCTATCTTTGTTCCTAAAAGCCCAGAGGGTTGGGAGGGGTTTAGTTTATGTAAGTAGCCATTAGTAGCTTTCTTTGCACATGCTCCTGTTTAGAAGTATTTCTTTTTAGAAAGGGATGTTTGAGAAAGTTCAACAGATATGGAAAACCTGAATGTGCTCCTATACCTCCTGTGCTTATCTGCCTCTTCTTCCTATGAAGGTAGGACTTTTTGTCTCTAGTGCAGGACCATGAGGCACTTTCTGAACAAAAATCTCATCTTTCTCTTTTTTTGTAGCCTTAGAGTCTGTACTTACATTCCATTGTCTAACACCCAATAATTATTTAAATTTAAATGAATGGATGTATGCTGAATGGCTCTTTTCCTGTTTCAGTACCTTTATAATTTGTGCTTATTAAGAAATATAAAAATTTACCTTTATAACTATTAAAATAACCAGATTAATTATATATTTCATTTAGGAGTGCTTTCTTAATAATCATTCGCTTTTCTCCCTGTTTTTAGTAACTGAGCAGCATGTCTCATTCTATTAAATCAGACAAGTATTCCAGAGCTTCAGTAATTTACTGGTATCACAGACATAACCCATTACTTATGTGTTTACTTAGGGCTAATAAAGCTATTCCTCCTTGCTGCTTTTCTTTCTTTCGATTGCCATGCCTTTTTATAAGTGAAATTTTTAATTGAAGTATAACATACATTCAAGAAAGTATAATTACTATATGTAAAGCTCGATAAATTTTCACAAACTTGTGAAACCAACACCCAGATTAAGAAGCAGAACATTTTCCAGCACCCCATAAACTTCTTGTGTTCTTTTAGTTACTACCCATCCCCTCCTGGAGTAGCCACTGTCTTGATTTCTAACTATTGATTGTGAGATTCACTATGCTATTGAGTATAATTATGGTTTATTTTCATTCCTGTATAGTATTCCATTATAAAAATATATTACATATTATTCATTCACATTTTGATTATTTATAGCTAGGCTAGTTTCAGTTAAGGTGAACACATGTATGCCTTTCTGTTGGTTATATACCTAGCGATGGGATTGCTGGATCGTAAAGTATGTGTCTATTTCAACTTTAGATACTGCCACACAGTTTTCCAGAGTGTAGTAATGAATTTACATTTCCATCAGCTGTGCTTGAAGGTTCCGCTTGCTCCACATCCTCATTAATATTTAGTATTGTTGGTCTTTTAGCCATTCAGCTGGGTATGCATGCATACCCTATTTGAGCTGTATTTGTGCAGTTAAGGAATATGTTAGAGATGTTTTTCTCGCTTAACATTTCTAGTCTCACTTTAAATTAACTGAAATCATGGCTATTTTACTGTTTCTTTTTTCTTTATCAAACCCTTCAAGGGCGAATAGAATAGCCTTTTGCATCTGATGGTAGATTTACTTGTATTTTAAAATAACTGGGTCATCTTAGTTCATCTTTACAAGAAAAGAAAATCAAGTACACTAGGCAGGAGACTGATTTTAATCCTGATTCTGCTGCTAGTTAATTCGTTTATTTCTTTTTCCTGTTTGAATTAAACCTCTTCCTTGGCATGTATCATAGCCTGCTTTGCTTTTAGCCATTTTTGCCTTATTTTTGCATCTAAGCTCTGTGGCTCCACAGGAGAAAAGACCTGGCGATCTGCATCTGTGAAGATTATAGCCAGGAAAATCCTATGGGGCAGTTCTGCTCTGTCACAAGGGGTCTCTGTTAGTCAGAATAGACTCGATGGCACCCAACAACAATACCAAGCTCCGTGAGAAGGGACCATGTCTTATTTTTATACTAAGTTTAGTACTTTGCACAAAGTTGATAGTATTAATACAGATTGGGCAGATTACATAATCTCTTGCCTGTTAAACGGTACTTAGATGATTGATGTTATAAATTATTTAATTTATCCGAAGCTTTCTTCTCTTAGTGCCCTTCCTCTTTCTCCTCCTCAAGTTTATGCTTTGATCTGCTACACTTTTGTTAATTGGCTGGGTGGACCAAAACCAGTAACCAGTTGTGTTGAGTCGATCCAGACTCATGGTGACCCCGTGTGTGTCAAAGTAGACCTCTGCTTCGTAGGGTTTTTAATGGCTGATTTTTTCTGAAGTACATCGCCAGACCTTTCTTCCAAGGTACCTCTGAGGGAACTTGAACCTCCAACTTTTCAGTTAGCATCTGAGCACATTAACCATTTGCACCACCCAGGGATTCCCAGGTGGGCCAAAATGGTTTTGATCTTTTAAAAATGTTTTTATTGTGAAATATAAGAGAAATGCTAACAAGTTAATAAAATCAAAATGCAAAACTTTTCAGTTAATTATAAAGTGAAGATGTGTGTAACTGCCACCCAGATCAAGAAATAGAACATGGTCAGCACTCTTGGGATCTCTCCTCCCAGAGATAGCTACTGTCTGGATAATCATCTTCTTGATTTTCTTAATAGTTTGACCATCAGTATTTGAATTCCTAAATAGTGTAATTTGATTTTTGCCTGGTTTTGAACTTTTGATAAATGGAATCATACCATATGTATTCCTTTCTATCTCTTTTCATTCAGTATTTTATTTGTAACATTCGTTTTTACATATAGCTGTAGTTCATTTTTAATATTGTATAGTAAATATTGTATATTTTAATATTGTATAGTAAAATGTATACAATAAAAGTATTGTATAGTATTTCAATAATATATACAATAATATTGTATAGTATTTTAATATTGTATAGTATTTCAATATTGTATAGTATTTAAATCACAGTATATTTATCTCTTCTACTGTTGTTTACGGTTTGGGGCTATTACAAATAATGATGGTGTAAACATTCCCTTTTTGTATACTAGAACACGGTTGCATGAGTTTCTCTAGGAGTATTACCTAGATGTGATATTGCTGGGTTGTAGGGCATGTTTATCTGCAAGTTATGAGATAATTATTTTCTAAAGTGGTTGTATCAGTTTATGTTTCAACCAGTACTGTGAGTTTCCTCTGCTGTACATTCTTGCCAACATTTGGAATTAGCAAATTAAAAAATTTTTTGTTAATCTCGTTGCAGATGTAATTTGCATGTACCTGGTTACTAATGAGATTAAGCATCTTTACCGAGGATTTTGGTCGTTTGGCTGTCCCGGGCGTTTTTAGGTTTTTTTGCTGATTCTTCTATTGGGTTCTCTTTTTCTCAGTTATTTATAGTTCTTTTTAAGATTTGGATACTAGTTGTTGGTTAGTTAAATATGTTATATATACCTTATTCCACTCTGGGATTTGTCTTTTTATTCTCTTTAGGCAGAGTGTTTCAAATAAGAGAAGAAGCTCTTAATTTTAATGTAATCAAATTTATGATTTTTTTTTTTTTTTAATTATGGTTAGAGCTTTTTATCTCTTTGTTAAACAGAATTTCCTCCTTCAAGTTCATGGAAGATATTCTTTTATCTTCCAAATATTTATTTTATTTTGCCTTTCATCTTTAGATCTTTAGTCCACCTAGAATTGATGTTTTGTATATGGTGTTAGGTAGGAGTTCCAGTATAAAATTTTATATGGGTATTGAGTTGTCTCAGAATCATTAATTGAAATAGCTGTTCTTCTCTCATGGCTGTGCAGTGCCACCTCTGTCGTATTAACAAATGATATACAGTTACCAAACCTGTTGCCATAGAGTTGATTCTGACTCACATATACACGTGTCAGGCTCTGTATCACTAGCATATTGCATTAATAACTATAACTTCCAAATAAGCCTTAGATATCACTATAACAAGTGCTCCCACCTTGTTACTGTTCTTCAGAAGTTTCTTGATTATTATTGGCTCTTTGCATTTCCTTATAAATTTAGAACCATCTACTAAATGTTCCATCAAAAAAGTATTAGGCTTTTGTTTGAGATTACATTGACTCTAAAATGAATTTGGGAAGAGCATAGTCTTACCTGTTTTCTCTAAAGAGGTCAACTATTCTTATGATATGTTTTTTTTAATACTGTTGTAAATGGTATCTTTTATGTGTGTATGTTTGTTGCTGGTATGTAGGAATACAATCAGTTTTTGTATATTTTATATACAACAACCTTGTTTTACTTGAATAATTTATTTATAGGTTATTTTGGTTTTTCTGTAAATACAGGACATCTGAGAATAAAGACAATTTTGTTTCTTCCTTTCCAGTCCTTATAACTTTTATTTCGTTTGCTTCCCTAACATCCATGGCTAGCATTTTCAGCAGTGTTGAATAGAAGTGGTTGACAGGCACCTTTGTCTTATTCCTAATCTTAAAGAAAAAGCTTTCAATATTTCACTGTTAAGTATTATATTTGCCATTGAGTGTTTCATAGATACCCTTTATCTAAGGAAGTTCCTCTCTATTCCTAGTTTGTTAATGGTTCCCCTTCCCCATGAATCTCTGCTTAATTTTGTGAAATATTTTTTTCTGTACCTTTTTAAAATGATTATTTTTTGATCTGTTGAAATGATTTTCATTAATTATCTAATGTTAAACTAATACTGCATTCTGAAACACAAATTGATTATGATGTATCTTGTGTATACATATTTTTTATTTTACATAATTTTTGATAATAATTAGGAATTTTACATCTATTGTTCATGAATACGATTAATATGTAGTTTTTTAAATTATCAGACTGCTGGTTTTGGTATGTAAGGCTTATAAAACTAGATGGGCAGTGCTTTTTTTTTTTTCCTGTTCTCAGAAAGAGTTTAAGATCATGATTATTTCTTCTTCGAATCATTAAAGTCATATAAATCTAGAAGAGTTTTTGGCTTTTAATTTGGGTTATAGGAACCAGGTTTTTTTTTTTTTTTTTAACTCAAAAAATTTCCAGGAATTCGTCCATTTTATCTAAATGTTAAAATTTGTTAGCATAAAGGCGTTTGCATATCTTATCTTTTGCCTGATATCTGTTCTTTTTTCTCCCCTTCCTTGCCCTCATTAGGATTTTTGTGGGGTGAGGGGAAACCAAACCAGTTGCTGTAGAGAGGATTCCAACTCATAGCGACCCTATAGGACAGAGTAGAACTGCCCCATAGGGTTTCCAAGGAGCTCCTGGTGGATTTGAACTGCTGACCTTTTGGTTAGCAGCCAAACTCAACCACTACACCACCAGGGTTTCGTTTGTGGGGGAAAGGAGTGGGTAATTTTCTTTTGCTGCTATTAGATTGGAAGTTGTACACTGTTTCTGCTCTTTTACTAGTTACTCTAGAAATTACAAATACTTACCAAAGTCTAAAATTAATCATACTTTTACATCTTCATGTACAATATGAAGATCTTAAAACAATTTAACTCTTATCTTCAACATGATTTGTATGTTGTTGTCATTGTGTATTTTAATTCTATTGCTTCAGCTTAGCTTTAACTCAACAAGGAATAATTAAGAAGTACTATTATTATTACAATTAATACTAATAAAGATTTACCTACTGTCTTAGTATGTAGTGCTGCTGTAACAGAAATACCACAAGTGGATGGTTTCAACAAAGAGAAGTTTATTTCCTTACAGTAAAGTAGGCTAAAAGTCCAAATTTAGGGTGTCAGCTCCAGGGGAAGGGTTTCTCTCTCTCGGCCTTCTCATCAGTGTTCCCCCAGACTAGGAACTTCTCAGCGCAGGGACCCAGTCCAAAGGACGCGCTCTGCTCCCGGCACTGCTTTCTTGATGGTATGAGGTCCCCCGTCTCACTGCTCACTTCTATAGATCCAGTCCTGCCTTATTAACACAACTGCCACCTATCCTCCCTCATTAACATCATAGAGGCAGGATTTACAACATATAGGAAAATCACACAGTACCAGGAATCATGGCCCAGCCAAACTGATACACACATTTTTGGGGGGACATAATTCAAACCATGATACCTACATATCTATGAATTTCTTTGGGCTTCAGCCCTTCTTTCTGAGACCTCCTGTTTGTGATTACTTTCCTTCAACCTGAAATATTCTTTTTTTCTTTAATCCTGTTTGAGTTTTTTTGAGCTCTTTGACTTTCTAGCTTGGTATCTTTCATTAATATAGGTAGTCCCTGACTTAACGACGTATTCGAATTACAACGAACTGCACTTACGACTGTCCTTTTTTTTTTGTACATCTTGTTGTTAGTAATACGTACTACATACGATGTTGTAGTATGTAATTTGCTAATGTTAACATTCTCATGCCAACACCCAAAGACAAATAAAGATCAGATTTATAAATATACTAATAAGGCAATAATAATGAAAACTAAGGAAAAAAAGAGGTATTCTCATCAGAACGGATCCCCGTCATAAGTTGAAGACTACTCGTACTGGATAGTTCTCAGCCATTACTTTTTATTCCCAAATACTACCTCTACCCCATTCTTTTTATGGTTCTCTAGTTTAATGTGTGTTAGTTCTTCTTTATTCTCTTTGTCTCCTGAACGCTGCCTTATTTTCCATCTTTATACCTTTCTGTGCTACATTCTGGATGATTTCTTCTGAGCTGTCTTACAAGTCACACGTTCTTCAGCTGTATCTAATCTGCTATTAAATTCATCTGTTGAGTTTTTAATTTCAGTTATTACATTTATCCATTTCTAGGTGTTCTTTTGCATTTTTTAAATATTTTACTGTTGGGTGTTGTCTAGTCGATTCCAACTCATACGTGACCCCATGTGACAGAGTAAAATTGTCCCGTAGGGTTTTCTTAGCTGTAATCTTTGAGCAGATCTCCACCACGTTTTTCTTCTGGAGAGCTGCTGGGCTAAGCACTGACCTTTCAGTGCTTAACCATTATGCCACCAGGGCTCCTTAAACATCTTATAGATCTCTTGTTTTTCCTGTAGATATTTTTAAGCTTGTGTATGTATTTAAACATAATAAGCATAACTGTTTATACAGTAGTCCCCCCTTATCTGTGGTTTCGCTTTCTGCAGTTTCAGTTATCCATAGTTAACTGCGGTCTGAGAATATTTAGGAAAATTCCAGAAATAAATAATTCATAAGTTTTAAATTGCATGCCGTTCTGAGTAGAGTGATGAAATCTCAAGCCGTTCCACTCTGTCCCACCTGGGATGTGAATTATCCCTTTGTCCAGTGTATCCATGCTATATACGTTACCCACCTTATTAGTCACTTTTTACTTGAAGGAAGCACTTTACGGCTTCTCTTTGGCATATCTGAATTGCCAGCATCACTACTCTTGCACTCTTGGGGCCATTATTAACCAAAATAAGGGTTACTAGAACCCAAGCACTGTGATACTGCAGACAGTCCGTCTGATAGCCAAGACGGCTACTACAGAACTACATTCAGAAGTGGGCATTGTGAATTTTTATAAAAAGCAACTTGAGAGGTTTTTTTTTATAGAGTAATATGATAGAAATGACTGTTTGGAACAACTTCAGAATATTTTAACATTTTATTTTCTCAATAAATACCTAGGACATAATGTAAAAAAGTGTAGTTAGTTGAATAATATTAGTAAATCTCATAGTACTGTTTTACATGTACCTTTATCTTGTCCATGTGGTAGTGGAGTAGGAGTTGTCATAAAAGTGCTTAAAATAATCAAATCTTAGAAATGTAGAGCTAAAACAAATAGACCTACTTTACTCATTATGCCTGAAGTGTTTATTCATTATTGCTTGGTTATATATATTGCATGTTTTAGTGATTTTTAGATTTTAAAGTTTATAGTTTTAATCATATTAAGAAACAAAAAAATTTCTCGCATCTTTTATTGTGTGTTTTCCTCTAACTGGCTTCCATAAATGGTCACAACTGCTCGTTGCACGTTGTTTGTCGCAGCCCCTCACACGGGGCACCATCTGTCTCAGCGGCAGAGATTGTCGGGGTGGCGGAGACAGTAAACGATGCCACAACTCTTACAGAGAAGTGGGGCCAGGAGGGTCACTCTGAGGCGTCAAACCCAGCTTCAGTCCCAGGAGTTTATTTTATAGTCAATACAGCAAACAGTGAAGCAAATAACAGAACAATGGGCTTTGGGTGAATAACAATAAGTTTCGGGCAAGGGAGGAGGAATTCAGGTAAACAAGCCAATCAGTAACGGGTTTGGAAAAACAAGTCGTGACAAGTCTCAACATGTTGGGGACAAGTCTCAACATGTTGTGCAGCATAGAGGCCTTTATACATCCATATTTTAATGGCACATATCCCCCCAGTTGTTAATACACATTTATGACACAGTGTAGAGTTTATTCTTTTTGGAGAAATATTCGAATCATCTGTGGGTTTGCTATTAGCTTATCTAGTAATATCATCAGGTAAGAGGGTAGCACTGGGCTCAAAGGAGGATCCTACTCTGTTGGCCAATAGCCAACTGTTAGTTAAAAACAGGGAGCAGAAAGATTTGAAGATGACCATTTAAGTGCAAAATAAGAATGGTTCCATTTCTTGCCCTGCTTATTTTGACTTACTAATTTAAAATGCATAAATATGGTTATCCTGATATAAATGCATTGGTCCTATTGTGAAAGTGGAGCTCTGGCACAGTGGTTTAGAGCTACGGTGAGCTGCAGGTGCTAACCAAAATGTCAGCAGTTGGAGTCCACTGGCCGCTCCTTGGAAACCCTATGGGACAGTTCTACTCTGTCCTATAGGGTCGCTATGAGGTTTGGGTTTTTTTTTTTTTTAAATTGTGAGAATAATCATTAAGGGATAACATTCTGTTTTGTTTTGTAGTGTTTAATCATAGCATAACCCACTTTTCATTTTACATCTGCCTTTTTTCTTATTTATAGTAGACCCAAATGATTTGTATATCGTAGAACCCCTCAAGTTCTCGCCAGAAAAGAAGGTAATATTTTGTTTCCTTTTTAGTGTTAATGGTATGTTATGTGGTACTACATGAAGAAATAGGTTGAAAGGTTTAATATAACTCTTAAGTTATTCTTAAACTTATGTTTATTTTCAGTCATAGTTGTGGTGTAAATAAATGTTTACAGGAGTCAACAAACTATGACCAGCAGGCCAAATCTGGCTTGTTGCCTGTTTCAGATAGCCTTGCAGCTAAGAAGGGTTTTTGTAAAATAAAAGACGGATATGCAACAGAGACAGCATGTGACCTGCAAAGCCTAAAATATTTACTATCTGGCCCTTTACAGAAAAAGTTTGACGATCCTGGATGATAGCCATTATTTGTTATCTAAGGCATGCCAGGCACAGTGCATCCATCATTCCTGTAATCTTCACAACTGCCTGGAGATGGTATTATCCCCATTTTTCAGATGATAAAACAGAAACAGAGAGTTTGTGTCTTCCTTAAACGACTCATACATATCAAATAGGTGGCAAAGCTCAGAGTAGCCCTTTGGCTACAAAGTCTTTGCTCTTTGCATTTTGGCTCTCAAATTAGGTTATTCTCATCTTGATTACAGCTAACTGTCTATACATGAAAGAACATGTTTGGCTTTGCCAAATAGCCCAGGATTTAATCCCAAATTGGCCACTTACTGTTTTTTGGGCAAGGAGCCAGAGCTCTGAGCCTTGGTTTTCTCATCTAGGAAGCAGGGATAAAATAGCCACCTTTCAGGCCTAATAAGTAAGATACACATGAAAGTAACTAGTGTAATATCTGGCACATAAATAGGTATTCAAATGTTAGTCATCACCCTCTTAAGTCTATTTTCAGAGATGGCATATAAATAATTCAGAGAGTTTTGAATAGTAGCATATTTATGAAATGGGAAGATGATGATGATGATGATGGTGTCTGTACAGAACAACAGTATATATGTGTGCTGTTTATAGTGCTGTTTTACTTTTCACCAGGAGATGGCACTTTCCTCCACTAGTTCAGTCTTTAGGATTTTGATTAGATAACTGTTTGGAGGTCTGATTCCTATCCTTTCTTTTACATACGCTGCAGAAGAAACGCTGCAAGTACAAAACTGAAAAAATTGAGACCATCAAGCCAGCAGATCCATTGCACCCTATAGCTAATGGAGACATAAAAGGAAGGAAGCCCTTTACGAACCAGAGAGATTTTTCTAATCTGGGAGAGGTTTATCACTCTTCCTATAAGGGTCCTCCCTCTGAGGGAAGCTCAGAAACGTCATCACAGTCGGAAGAGTCCTATTTTTGTGGCATTTCAGCTTGCACAAGTCTGTGCAACGGACAGTCCCAAAAGACAAAGACTGAGAAGAGGGCTTTAAAACGAAGGCGATCTAAAGTCCAAGACCAAGGAAAACTGATAAAAACTCTAATACAGACTAAGTCAGGATCACTGCCGAGCCTGCATGACATAATCAAAGGAAACAAAGAGATCACCGTGGGAACATTTGGTGTTACGGCAGTCTCGGGACATATCTGAAATTAATGGAACTTTTCATACTGGAGACTTTTTTGTTGTTCTTTGAAGAACAGTGTGTGGTATTTGAAGGGGTTGAGGGAGGGAGAAGCTATTAATGGGAAACGTATTCAGAAATTATGGTTTCTGCCTTTTTAAAAAGTAGATGGGATTGTGTCAGTCTTGGTTAATGAGTTGCAGTTTTACAAGGCTGATCAGTTCCTACAATGACAATGGTAGACATTCTATAAAGATGTTTTTTCACAGATTAATTACTGGGACAAAAGTAATTTGGAAGCCCAGTTCCTTGGCTGGGATAGGAATGAAAGTCTAAACCTCTTCCTTTAGCTTTGTTCCTATTTCTTGCACCTTCCCATATTTATGTGCCTTTTGTCTATTTATAATGCCACTGGAAGAGGAGGGAGAACTTTTTCTGTCATTTGATTTCTTTTATAACTTTGTTAGTATTTTGGAAGCTGCAAACACTACAAGGCTTTAAGGTGATCTGTGCCTGAAGCTTAGCAATGTGGGTCAGACAGTATAAAGATCCTAGAAGATTTGCCAATTAGATCTCTGTTTAGCAAACTCACTGGCAACGACCACCCGTTGGAATTTTTAAGTTTTATTTTTTTAGGTAAATGGTAATGCTGTTAGTAGTATTTTTATTTAACTCATTTGGATTGGGTTACTTTTTCCTTAGTTACTAACTTAATGAGAAAAAAACCACCGTACAAGATCTTTTCTTGCAAATGACTGGCTTTGCAAACAAATTTTTGATAAATTCACCTTTTAAAGACATTTAGCCACTTGTAAAGGCTTTCTTTAGCTATATTACATTTTAAGAATTCACAGTAAACACTAATCCTCCAAACTTTCAGATCATTTTTTTTCTAATACAACAAATACAAAGTTTGAAGGTTTGGCAAATGAATCTAGGTCTCATAATCACTGCCTACGTACATATGCACAGAATCAGCTCGTGAGTTTGTCAAGCCTTGTCTAATTGGTCAAATCTGAAGGGATTATTCCTTGATGTTTGCTTTGTATTGGCTACAAATGTGCAGAGGTATACATGTGTGATGTCAGTGTGTCTGTCTGCATTTTGTCTTTTCTTTTTTCCTTTTAAAAAATAATTGTCATCGACTGAATAAAATGATTTCTTAGTGTGTGATTGTGCAGTAATAAGTTAAAGTAGAACATGTTTCTTTTAGAAAGTGTTGTTAAGACTTAAGTTATAACTTATTGAGCACTTTTAGTAATAATTGTTTATGAACTTGTCGAAAACCTTTCTTGGCGTATTGTTTGTAATGTGACTTATTTAAAGACTTTTTGTTTAAGTTGCTGCTTTTGTGTTGGGTTAACAGTATGTTTTAGATGATTTAATTTTTTTCCAGTCTGCACAATTAGCCATTCAGAGCAAGAGGGCTTGATTGTAGCCCTCTTGAAAGAGGTCCAGTTTGGAGCAGAGGTAGAGCGGGAAGTTACGCCGTCTGTGTGCAGCATCCAGTGTTGTGGAAAGAAGACTTACAACATGTAACTACGAAGCTGTAGTGCCATTAGAAACTGTGAATTTCCAAATAAATCTGAACACTTGTCTTTATTAATTACTGGCTCTTCTCATCTTTGAAAGTGAACTCACAAATTCATTACTAACCTCATAGCTAACAAGTTTTGCCACTTTTAAAGCTAAATATAGCAGCATCCCATTAAGTAATTGATCACATTTCCACCAACTATGAACTGATTGGACTTTCACGTAACATTTTGTTCCCTATACAATCATAATTTCATCCTTTTAAAAACACTAAAATGACAGTTTCTAATGTTTATTTAGTAGGATACATTTTATTAATTTTTTGATAGGTTTTCCTGCATGTGCTTTTCTCTAAGTGCCATCTTTAGGACTACTAATTTTTAATGTTTTATATCTAAATAGAGCATAATATTTTGCACATAATTACATTTTTTTGATGAATCATGTGAAAGTGTGTTGGCACATTGTGTCTTCACCCCCTAATACTTTAGTATGTATTTTCTTAGAATAAGGACATTCACTCACATGGCCATATACCAGTATCACACCTAAAAACATTAACAGTAGTTCCATAATATCTAATACACAGTCCATATTCACATTTCTCCATTTGCTTCCCTCCCCGCCAATAGACACACTTTTTAAAAAAATCTGTGGTCCATTTGGTTGTGTTGTCTTTTTAGACTCTTAAAAAATATGAATTGAATTATATTAATAATTAACTGAATGGTCTACATATACCAGTTAAAAGATGGAGACTATCATCAGAGTAGATAAAGACCAAACTACATATTGCGTGTTGCCTGCGAGAAACTCACTTTAAATATAAAGACAGATTTAAAGTAAAGGGATGGAGAAAGACATACCATACTAACACTAATCAAAAGAAAGCTGGAGTAGCTATATTTCAGACAGTGAATTTCAGCAAGGAAAATTATCAGGTATAAAGAAGGGTATTACATAATAATAAAGTGGTCAATTCTCCAAGAAATGTATGTGCCTAACAACAGCATCAAAATGTATCAGGCAAAAATATGTATGTGCCTAACAACAGCATCAAAATGTATCAGGCAAAAATTGATGATAGGCAAATCCACTGTTACAGCTGGTGGTGCCAACCCTCACCAGATTCAGCAGTCAGAAAATCAGTAAGGATGTAGTTGAACTGAAAAGCACTATCAACTGAATCTAATTAACACAGAATACTTCAACAGCAGAATACACATTTTCTCAAGCTTGCATGGAACATTCACTAGATAGACCATATCCTGGGCCATAAAACACACCTTAACAACAACAACAACAAAATTATACAAAGTATGCTGTCAGACTACAGTGGAATTAAAGTAGAAATCATTAACAGAAAGGTTAAAAAATCCCAAAATATTTGGAGATTAAACAACACACTTCTAAAGAAGTGTGGGTCAAAGAAGAAGTCTTGAGAAATTTATATTTTGAACCAAATAAAAATGAAAATACAGTTTATAAAAGTTTGAGGGATGCAACAAAAGCAGCGATTAGAGGGAAATTTAGAGCACTGAACGCATCCATTAGGAGAAAAACAAGAATCAATTTCCACTTTAGGAAACTTGGAAAAACGAGCAAATTAAATCCAAAGTAAGCAGAAGAAAACAGAAATCAATGAAATTAAAAACAGGAAATTAATAGAGAAATTAACAAAACCAAAAGCTGATTCTTAGAAAAGATCAATGAAATTGATACACCTCTAGCCATGCTAACCAAGAAAAAGATACAAATTACTAACATTAGAAATGGAAGAAGGGCCATCACAACTGATCCCATGGACATTCAAAGGATAATAACTCTAAGCCCACAAATTTGATACCTTAGATGAAATGGACCAATTTCTTGCAAGATGCAATCTACCAAAACTCACACAAAGAGAAATAGATATTTTGAATAAGCCTATAGCTGTTAAGGAGCCCTGGTAGCACAATGGTTAAGAGTTCAGCTGCTAACCAAAAGGTCAGCAGTTAGAATCCACCAGCCACTCCTTGGAAACCCTATGGGGCAGTTTTACTGTGTCCTACAGGGTCACTATAAGTTGGAATTGACTTGATGGTGATAGGTTTTTGTTTTTTTTTAATAGCTATTAAATAAATTGAATCAATAATTAATAAACTTCCAAAACAGAAATCACCAGGCCCAGATGATTTCACTGGTAAATTCTACCAAACATTTAAAGAAGGATTAACACCAATCTTTTTCAAACTCTTTACAAAAAATAGGAGGGAACACTTCCTAACTCAATGAGTACAGCATTACCCTAATACTGAAACCAGACAAAGACATTACTAGGAAGGAAAATTACCGACCAATCTCTCTCTTAACCATGGATGCAAAAATGCTCAAAAAATGTATAAAAAGGAATATGCACCATGACAAAATGGAATTTATGCCAGGTAAGCAAGGTTGGTTCAACATTTGCAAATTCATGTAATTCATCAGATCAACAGGCTAGAGAAGAAAAATTATATCAATAGATGCAGAAAAAGCATTTAACAACATCTAATATCCATTCAAGATAAAAAGTAAACTAGGAATAGAGAGGAATGAAATCATGACATGCTACAATATGGATGAACCTTGAAAAATCATGCTGAGTGAAATAGTTACAAATGGACAAATATTGTATGATCCCAATTATATGAACTATGATAGGCAAATGTATAGAGAAAAAAGTTTACCAGAGGCAGGGGAAGAGGAGGACTCATTGCTTAGGGGACACTGAGCTTCTGTTAAGGGTGATGGGAAAATTTTGGAAATGGATAGTGGTGATAGATGGACAACCAGATGAAAGTGATTAATGCCACTGATAGTACACTAAAAAATGTTGAAATGGCAAATGTTTTATTACATATATATTTACCACAATAAAAATTGCTCATAAAAAAGGAAATAAAATATATACATATCAAGAAGGAAGAAGTAAAACTGTCTTTGATCATAGGTGATAAAATCACCTATGTAGAAAATCCCAAAAAGTCAAAAAAACAAAACTCCTGGAAATAATAAGCGATTATATCAAGGTTTCAGGATACAAGGTTAATATGCAAAAGTTGATTGCTTTCCTATATACCAGCAATTAACAATTGGGATTTGAAATTAAAAACATAATATCATTTACATTAGCACCAAAAAAGTTACTTAGGTATACAACAATATGTACAAGAGCTATATGAGGAAAATTACAAAACTATGAGGAACAAAATCAAAAAAGATCTAAATAAATAAAGAGATATTCCATGTTCATAGATAGGAAGACTTAATACTTTTAAGATGACAATTTTTCCTAAATTAATCTATAGATTCAACACAATTCCAAACAAAATCCAAGCAAGTTATTTTGTGGATATCGACAAACTGATTCTAAAGTTTATGTGGAAAGGCAAGACCTAGAATAGCCAAGACTCTACTGAAGAACAGAATTGGAGGACTGACATTACTGGACTTCAAAACACTATAAACTACAGTGGTCAAGGCAGTGTGGTATTGAAGGAATAGACAAATAGATCAGTGGAGCAGAATAGAGAGCCCAGAAATTGCCCACACAAATACAGTCAACTGGTCTTTGACAAAGGAGCAAATGCAACTCAATAGAGAAAGGCTAGCCTTTTCACAAATGGTGCTAGAACAATTGTACATTCACCAAAAAAAAAAAACAAAAAAACCCTAACACAGAGGTTACATTTTTCACAAAAATTAACTCAAAATGGATCATAGACTTAAATATAAAATACAAAACTATACAACTTCTGGAAAATAGAAAATCTAGGTGACCTTGGGTTTGGCAATGGCTTTTCACATACAACACCAAAAGCATGATCCATAAAAGAAAAACTTGATAAGTTGGACTTCATTAAAATTAAAAATATCTGCTCTGTGAAAGACTGTTAAGAAAAGAAAAAGATAGGGTGAGCCAACATGGCACTATAGACAGAAGCAACATGTCATCCCTCTGCAGCAAAGACCAAAAAAACTAAGTAAAACTGATACAAACATCAATCCTGGAACCCTGATCATAAAATGAAGGAATATAGAACTTGATCAAGCACTGAATGGAGTAAGAAACTGAGAGAACAGAGAACGAGGAGCGCTATGGAATGGAGGTCCCCTACCAGCTAATGTGGCACAGATTCATCACCTTGGACTACAGCCACCAAGAAACACACATGGAGTATGGGAAAGAAACTTCACAGAGCTCCCAACAGGAGAAAGAACACCCAGTAACCAGGGACACATGCTTTCCCTTGCCACACACTTCTTCCCTCTACTGCTTTCCAATGGCCATGATTGTTCAGATGGAGAGACACCAGCTCACTGCCACCTGGCTTCACCCCACTCCTCTGGGCGGCCCCTTCAGCACCATTTTTTTTTGTTTTTGGATTTTTTTTTTGTTGCTTCTCTCTCTCCCTTCCTTCCTTTCCTTTCTCCCGCACAGCTAGCTTCTCCATCTCTTCCTTCCTTTCCTTTCTTGATTTCTTTGTTTTTTATTTTTCTTTCTTTTTTTCTGTTTCTGCTTTCTCTCTCCTTTCCTTCCTTTCCTTTCTCCTGCCCAGCTAGCCCCATGTGCCTTTCCCCACCCTCTTCTTGGTGGGCTGTGCTGTACCATGCAGCTGGACAGCCTCTGGCACATGGCTTTCCTGGGTCTGCACTGCCCCATAGGCTGGCTCTCTCAGTGCTATCTTTTTTATTTTTCTGTATCTTTCCCCTTCTCCTTTCCACTTAGGCCCCATGCTGCCTCCGCCTCACCCGCAACAGCTGGCTTCCCCATGACCATATTTATTTATTTGTATTGTTGTTTTTATTTATTTGTTTTATTGTACTTTAAATGAAAGTTTACAGAATAAACTGTCTTCTCATTAAAGAGTTAGTACACATATTGTTTTATGACATTTGTTAACAACTCCACGACATGTCAACACTCTCCCTTCTCAAACTTGGGTTCCCTATTACCATCTTCCCTGTCCCCTCCTGCCTTCTAGTCCTTGCTCCTGGGCTGGTGTGCCCCTTTAGGCTTGTTTTGTTTTATGGGCCTGTCTAATCTTT